CAATTTGCAATGACGTTCATGTTTTGAAGCAGCAACTCCCTTTATACCGTCGTCATTTTATTAAACTTAGGAATAGCAATATTACCCGACCTGATTATATTTATTCCAATTCGATTTTAATAAAAAAAAATGTTTAAGAGAGTTTTTATAAGATAGGATAAAGTATAGGTATAGTATATTAGATAGGTAGCTTGGAGTAAAGTATGAAATTGTATCATTAAAATAAAAAATTTAGTTGTGAAACTTGAAAAAACTTCTACCCGTTATTAGCTTCTGTTTAGATAAATGAAATAATTTTAAATTAATTTTCAAAAAATATAAGAAATTAATTATTGTAAGATTAGGAGATCAATCATTGTCAAAGCAAACATGTGCCCTGTTTGGGAAGCCAAGATTTGGCTTTTTTTGGGACTAAAATTTACAAAAAGATAAAATAGGTTAAAATAGTCAATAAGACAAACTGTCACATCAAACCCATAATCATTTCATTTTTTCTCTCACAATCATCACATCCAACTACAAAAAAATTCAACTCTCTTCCCAAATACAAATATTTTAGCATACTAAAATAGTTAAAAATTAAAATAGCCTACTAAAATAGCCAACTTCCCAAGCGAGGCCAAATAATTTTTTATTTTTTTGGCTATAAATGGAATTCTATAATAAAGGATTCAAAATACAGAAATAAAAAATTAAAGACGATACGGTGCACAAAACACTTGCTAAATTAGGAGTGTTACTTATATTTTAAAAAAATTCCAAAAGATAAAAAAAAAAATTTAAAATTATTTCTAGCCACCAAAAAGATAGAATTATGTAAAATTGATGTTTTTTATTTTTTATTTTTTCATCAAATTATTATTTTATTTTTTTAAAATTCTGAAGTAAATTTTTGAAAACCAAATCAAATAAGGCGTGTTTTGAAAATAAAAAAATAAAATAAAATAAAAAGCAAGTATAGAAACCTAGACTATTCGCTCCTTTAATTTTGATCCCAAAAAAAATAATAATAATTCGCTCCTTTAATGTTTAGATGCACGGTGGAAAACGACCCTTTATCATGGGTCGATAAATTATCCTTTCCTCTTACATATGTGGTTATTTTTTATTTTCATCTTTAACATTTAATTTTTCTCATTTTGTTTTTCATGTTTTAAATTTTTTTAATTTACTTTTAAAATTAATTTATGTACAAAAATTAAACATAAAATAATACATTAACAGCTACGTAACATAAATTTTATTATATATAAGTCACATTTTTTATATAAATTCAAACTCTAATATAATAATATATTTTTAATGTTATGTGATAGTTAACATGACATTTTTTGTATAATTTTAACAAAGAGTTAACGTTGGGAGTAAATTGAGAAAAATTTTTAACATGAAGAGTCAAACTGAAAAAAAATGAATTTTAAGAGCCAAAATAAAAATAAAAATAAAAATGACCAAACATAAAGGGGGTTACCCATTATAATATACTCTCAAAAGAGTGTGTATAATACACAAATTATGATATTTATAGAGTTGATTATTATAAATATCGTAATTGGATCATTTTCAACCAAAATTGATAAAAAATAATGAGTCATAACCATAAATAGGTAATGCTCTAATATGCAATACACATCGTATGCAACCTTGAATTTTCATAAATTTACATAAGTGATCGCACAAAAATACGTAAGTTGAACATAAATTTAATTAAATTTATTTTTAAGAATAGACTTAAATAAATTTGTATTAAACTTACGTAATTATATAATAGAATCACATACGATTTGCATTGAAAACTAGGGAATTTTTCAAAAAAAAAAAAAACCACAAATGTGATAACCAATACATAAGAGAGATTCCACCCTAGGATTACCACCAACACTGATTGCTTAAAAAAGAGAAAATAGATATTCTTTGATACAGGCCAAAAATAAAAATTAAAAAAAAAAACAAAAATAAAAATAAAAAACTGTGGTTTGAGTGAAAACACATCTGATATCATGAATCTAATAATGGGGCATGGCCAATGAGCATGTTTTTACATATTTTATGGGACCCACAGCCCACAACAATACACTAGAAGCTGCCACATCACGAATTCCAGCTGGAGGGATCTCCGAAAGTGTGAATTATTGGATATGTTTTTTTGTTTTTGGGTAAAATGGAGAATCTCAAAAATATTATTATCTTACATTACAGCCATGAAAATGGGGGGGAAACAAAAGTGGCCAATCAAAGGCCTTGTATTGATCTTTACAGCTCTTTGTAATAGTGACTCCTTTACTTATGTGGTCAAAGTGTGGGCTCATGGTAGTGATGGGTGGTCATTCAATCATTGTATTCAGTCCATATCACAAATGAGGCTTTGCTTTGCTTTGCTTTGCCCTAATTTTCTGATTTTGATGCTCTTTCATTATTATAGCACTTGTTTTTATCTTCATTATTTTTAATCTTAGATCTTTGATTTCTTATCATTATCGTGTCTTTGATTAATATCTTCATGATTCAGGTCTCGTTTAACAACTTAATAAATTAATCAAAAAATTACTACAAAAAAAACAAAATCATTCTTTTTATTTTTTTATATATCTTTTTATAAAAAAATTAATAGATTATTAAAAAAGTTAATCCCTAAACCACCTCTCAATCTACCTAGACAGACAGGAAGTGAAGTGAGTGCTTGTGAATCCATCGCAAAGCCCCTACCATATGGAGGCCCATCTAAGCTTTTTTAATTTGTCTTTTCAACAAGAATTCCTAAGATTACATTCAAAAAAAAATTGTCACACGCTAATTATCTCTTTTTACCTTCTTTTTTTTTTTTTTAAATCTGAAAATAAACAAAAAATTATCACTGTGTATCACATCTAAGGTAGAATTGACTCATTCCAACGCTTTTATAAAAGTAAATTCTTATACCCATGGATGTCTAATTAACATCACTTTCTTTATCAAAACACAAACTTTTCTCTCTTTTTTTTGTTTTTTTGTTTTTTCGCCCCCTATGTTTGGCTAACAAGAAACTACAGTAAAATAAGATCACTTCGATACGCTCTTATAAAATAAACCCTAGATACACGCAAGCATCCACCAACGAGCAAATGTATCAAGTACATCTAAGTGCATGCATCATCAACAACACGTCTATCAAGCAAGTCTAAGTGCATCATTAAGAAAGATTACTAAGAATTTCTGATTATTCGATCCAAAAATCCCTCACAATTGAGTTATAAATACCCGTGCAAGTTCGTAATATAATCTTAGAAACACACATGACACATTTCATTTATAAGAGTGGAACACGTCGCCTCACACAAGAAGAATCATGGCATTTTCCGATGTACCAAAACAAAAAAAAAAAAAAATTACGGCAACAAACGAGTTGGCCAACTTGGCTTAGAAGATCATATTATCTCCCTTGAATATGCTTTTGTCTTTGCACCTTAAATTTTCAAGCCGCTTCATTTTTTTTTTTAGAGGGACCAACAGTCTGACTGCTAGCTAGAAAATAAGTATATACTATTTTGTTAACAACTCATTTTGTACTTGACTTGGCTCCTCCATTAAAACACTTTGGTGACAGCAACATTTAGCTTCAAAAGAACATGTATAGGTCAAAAAAAAAATATAGTGAACTATAATGGGGGTTTTGGGCCCTGGAGAGGTCCAATTGTTCTCTTTCTTCTTCTCAATGTGATCTGGCCAGCATTAAGGAAAAAAAAAAAAAATTAAAAATTAAAAATTGAAAGCTGCAAGCCTACAACAAAGAAGAAAATATCTCATACAGACTCCACGAGTTCAGACACAGGTTCACATCTTTCTCAAATTGCTTTCACACACCCCAGGAAAAAAGATTCACATGGCCGACTTGAACTCGGAATCATAGTTTAACCCCAAAGTAACCCTTTACATTGTATTTGATTGAAAAATTAAGAAAAAAATTTAAAATAAAAAAATATATATATATATAAAACTAAGTGAAATATAATTATATTTTATTCACATTTCACTTACATTTCCTTTTTCAAATCATTTTCCAAAATTTTCAATCAAATACCACGTTGGACTGCCCACCCGAGGCTCACTTAACTGCCTACATGGCTAGCAGAGTACTGAGTACTATGACACCCGAGACTGCAGCCTGCAGGTATAACTTGGGCAGAGTCGAGAGTCTCTCCTTGCAGTCCCATCCTTGCAAGCCTTCGAATCTACTTTTAGGCTCAATTTTGGTAATCCGAGCCGTTCATATTTTATAATTTATTCGATATATCATACCTGTAAAAAATCAAATTGATCAGATATCAGAAAGTATGTGTTCGAAAAATTGAACTAAAAACTATTTTTTAAATAATTTAATAAACAATTTTTCGAACACATATTTTCTGATATCCGATCAACTTGATTTTTTACAAATATGATATATTGAATAAATTATAAAATATGAACGATTCGAATTATCAAAATTAAACCTAAAAGTAGACCCGAAGACCTGCAAAGACGAAGGCTGCAAGGAGAAGATCCTGATACAACTTGAGCAGGCCTAATCCAAACAATTCATCTAAAAAATATTATTCCATACTTAAAACAGTCTACTTTCAAATTTGGTTAGGATTTGTACACAAATTTATCTGCCTAAAGAAAAAAAATAAAAAATTCAGAAACAGCTCAGACAAAAAAAATTCACAACCCGAGCAACCTGAATAATATACATAAATCGAACTAATTTTCCTATTATGATGTGCTTGTAATTTTTGAAATAATTTTATTATATGTTCAAAAACTTTTTTTTTTGGTTTTGTTTTACAGCCTGAGCCTAACCCGAATTCTTGGTGAAACTCAAGCTCAGGCCTGGGCAAGATGTTTGAGCAGAAGTCAAGTTCAGACTTGGGCTCGAGCAGATCCTTCTACACTTCGGGCTAAAGGTTATCCAGCATCAAATGCTCTCCTTTACCATAACTAGCCATTTAAACAACCAGGTATTTCACAAAAGAGAGTAAAACTTTCCTCAACCATCCAGACTATGTGTCTAATGAATCTGAAACTAATTCAATTTCAGCAATTTCTTGGAGAAAAAAAAAATCAGGTCTGCAAAGTGGGCATTTTTTTATACCTTCAGTTACACCCACCAAAACTGATACTGGACAACATACAAAATAAAAACCCAGCGGCTCGGCGTGGTGGGAGCATTAAATTGATTCTATGGATTTGAACTATGTTTTTGAATTATGGATTTGGCACTTGAGTTTACATTGTGTCTTCAACTACAAAGCAAACTTTACGCCCTTCCTTCGTAAGTATTTTCAAGAACGGGGACTCCTGGTCCATATACCAGACGACAGCGATCATGAAATGAACCAACAAGTCGAGAGACTACCTCCTTAAAAAACATGGATGCCACCTGTCAAACATAAAGTGATTGTCCATGTTAGAATGCTTCGAGCTGCAACAAAACAAAGCTTCATTTTTAAAACTCAAAATGCTTTGACAATTACCGAAATAATGTTACACAAAGTAAATGACCACATCTCCTAAGCATCAAAGCTAAAAGATATTGACGTAAATATATGCTTCATCAATTTCTGAACCTAAAATGTATAAACTAAAAAAATGATACAAAGAAAAAACCGAACTCACACACATTGGTTTTGGCCCCACTGTGACAAAGTTTTAACCAATACCTTACACCAACAGTAAAATCCAAGCCAAACCCATGAGATGATTCGAAAGCAGCAGCATCCTGGTAAGCGATGGTGGCGATGGAATTGGGGTGCAGCAGTGATGAAGGCAGCGAGGTGAAAATTATGGAGACCAAAGTTTGAAAGACAGTATTAGTAAAAGTGGCCACAGCAGTTGAAGTTTCATGAAAATATAAGGAAATAGTTTGTTGGTGGTTGGAGCCCCTGTAATGGCGATGTGTTCATAATTCATATGGGCAGCAGAATTGGAGATGAAGCATCCGGCAACAGTAAGGTAGTATTGGTATCAATGTAGGCAGTTGTAGTAATCGTCTGTTGCCGACATTGGTGATGTTATTGATTCTCTGAAGGCCACCTAGCAGAGATTTTAAAGCAATTTGATAATTCCTACCCATTGAAAAATACAAAAACACCTTTCCACAAGGCTCCAAGGACAGGTTCCCCTTCATTTCCACAAATTAAGTTGGCATTCATCAAAATAAAAATTCATCATAGTAGAATAAGAAAGCCCAGTCCAAGTTTCTTTTCTATTTATATATATGGAGGCCCAATTACTTCCCATACTACAAGTGACTACCACAAACACACCAGCAAAGATCAACCAGGTAAGGTAAATACTTAAATGCCTCGTACGCTAGATGTTGGGAGCATTGTAAGCTATGCTCTCCTTAAAAGAAAATGCAAAAACTACATATAATGAAATGATAGCAGAACTGCATTAGCTATGGTTATGAAGTTCACAGACTAGATAGATGTACAGTACAACCAAATTGAACACAGAACCATTACCTGTCGATAGAGTGGTGACTGGAACTTAAAATCCACCAAAAAATAAAGGCTGCAAGTTCCTGGATCAGGTCCCGGACTAAATTCCCAAAAGTTTATCAAATGCTCAAAAAGACTACTTTCCGATACAGTTGTCTGGAAGAAAAACAGAACAGATGATAGGTACATCAGTAACAGTATCAGCAAAACCATTCACAGAGCTAGATTTCAATATTAAAAAAAGAAAAAAGTATAGAAACTCACTATAAATCAGTGCCAATAATGAAAAGGCACACTTAAGACTACACATAGATTAAAGCAAGCCTATAGGAACAACACCAATAATTAATAAATGTCTAGTGAAGGTGCAGAGTGTACACACTTTTCAACAATAATTGTAGCAGAAGGTTGTGTCCCACATTCTCAGCCTTTGCCTAGAATATCAGCTTAATGAGTTCATCACCAAAAATTAATATTTCTTCCAGAAACTTAAAGCATCTTATCAGATCTTGGATTTTTTGTTATGTCTAATTGCGTCAAGATGACATTATAATTAAACATATCAGCAGTTACATTTTAGAATAAGGAAACTCAGTCAATATGTATGAGAATCTTAAAATTCTGCTATCCTTTGCTATAACCACACATTATGCTTTTAATTACACAAACTCAATTTAAAAAAATAAAAATAAAAATTAACAACCATGCATTATGCTAGATAGGACTATAGATCTGGAACATTTTCAATTCTAACCCAAAAACACCAGAAGAAAATTATTCACCAAAATTTAGTGCTTGTTTGGCATGTGCTAAAATAGCACATGTTATTTTAGCACATTATCCTATTTGAGTCACAATCATCTTATTTGGGTCACATCACCTCTCTATCACATCACTTCAAACCCAACTCATATTTCACGTTTTTTTGTAAAATGTCAAAAAGTATACTAATCTAGCACTTCCCAAACAATCTCTTAATCTAAACTTGGACATTTTCAAACTTCGGAGAAACTGCAAGGGGTTGGCTTGGTGATAAAACCTTGGGTCTTGAGGGTGTGCTCCCCCCGAGGTTTAGGATTCAAAACCTTTTAGGTGCTAACAATTCCTTGGGGCCATCGGACTAGAGGAAAACCATTGAATTAACCGTGGTTCACTTGTAGGAAACTCCTTATCGAGAGCCTATGCACCCCTGGGAATTAGTTGGACTTTGATCCAGACATTCCAATGCCAATCAAAAAAAATTTACAAACTTTGGAGAAAGCTAGGAGGCAAGAAACAAACAACAAAATCATAACTCAAAACCATGCCAAGGGCAAATCATGTTAAATTGGTCAGGATTTATGTCCCTGCACAACACATCCAGTTTTCTCACATTACATTTGTCCAAAAAATTAGAAGTTCCGAACATGTTATTGATCACATAGATTATTTCTTGAAATAATATTTATCTATTTTCCATATTCTCCCATGTCCCCACCCATTTTTGCCCCAAAATTCGTGGCAATGATATGTCCATACTGTCTCCAATCCATAATCCATATTTGTATCCATGATTCATATAGTATAAAGCACTTCTACTGCAGCAGTGTGTGTGCGCGCGCACACATGAGCGTGTGTCCACACCACCCTAATCGCCACCACCATCACCTTCCACTACCGCCACCATCAACCCCCTCCCCCCAACTTCAATGCTTACCCCACACATGGATAAATGTGTGTTAACTTGATCTCCTTGCTTATAAAAGAACAAAATTTCCAGTGATTTAAAAATATATATCAAAATTAAAATCAAACTCAAAACAAAATTTCCTTAAAAAATACTTTACAGAGAGAGAGAGAGAGTATTAAAAAGTAACCTTGAGTTAATAAATGCATAAGAAGCAAGGCCCTTTCCTTTGCTGTGCAGCTTCAGTTTATGAAATCAATGTTATTTACCGAGAACTCAAACTTAGTGGTTATATATATATATATATCGAATATGACAATTTAACCTATGGTGATATAATTAGTACCATTCAAAAGATGGATTAAAAATGTGCATAGATATAAAATTTAATCAAAAAGCTACTAAAGATAAACATAAAGCTAAATATGAATTAGGAAATTTCTATGAACAATATGGTCTACCTCCTATTGCACCTTCACAACGTAAACATACTAAAAAGAAATCTCCACACAGGTACCGTGCTAAATACAAAAAGAAATATTTACCTTCTAAATCACTTGATAAATATTATACTAAACCTAAAAAGAAATCTCATACGAAAACTAATAAATTTCAAAAGTCAAAATCTACCCAAGATGTTACTTGTTACAATTGTGGAAAAAAGGATCATTATTCTAATAAATGCAAAGTCAAAGAAAAACTTAAAGACAAGCTTAATCAATTACAGATTACCGAAGAACATCAAAATCAAATATTTGAAATATTTAAACTCACTCACACTCCAAATCAATCTCCTAGTAATTCTAGTTACTCATCTAGTGACACTACTCTCTCTAGTGATACTTCTACTTATATATATATGTATATATATATAGAGAGAGAGAGAGAGGGAGAGTAAAACTATCTTGAAATGTGTTATTTAACCCAATTTAGGCAGGAGATCTAATACTTCCTATTCCTAATATTTCAGAATGGAACAAGTCCTTCATGATGTAGCATATTTGGCCTATCACATTAAAACAATCTCCATTTCAGGTAGAATTGGTGTATAACACTGGATGAATAGAATATTTATAGGATATTTCCACACCACACAACTCTTATTCAGTGTTGTCAAAATAATCTGAAATTAATGGACCAAAGTACAACCTTAATTCACCATCAGTAGCAAATGGCAGGAGTTTACATGCATGATTTGACAACTGGAATCAGTTTAGTCGTCTTATATGGAGATAGATCACTCAATGTTGGTTAAAGTAGATTATTATTTATCAAAAGTGAATGTGACCACATATAAATTGTAAAAATAAATTGATGTATATTATTGATTGATGTATTACAAGATTGATACATTGATGTGTTTTATTACAAAGCAGAGTAGCTCATTATATAGGAGAGGGTTTGGGTAGTAGGTGAGGAGTAGGTGAGGGTAAATTGATGGTAGGTGTAGTAGGTGTGGTAGTAGGTGGTGGTAGGTGTAGGTAAATTCTAACATAAATGATCTTTTAGAGCTAAAATCTGCTACTGCTCAAATTTATCAGCTGAATAGTGAAAGAAATGATTATACTGTTTAGAATTTATCCAATAATGGAAGATTTAATGGAGGCTGCATCCAAGGATACTTGCGAGAATCTCTACCTGAGGTCTCCTGGACCCATCTCTAGAGGTCAAGACTTAATATTCCAAGACACTCATCTATACTCAAGCTCGCAATTAAAGAACAATTGGCTACACAAGATGAACTTATGGCAAAAGGCTATATTACATGGACTTTTCAACATAAATTAACCTCCTATACCAGACACTTGACATGATAAGGGTGAGATATGTGTCAAGATATGTGCTCAGCAAGCATATTCATCAATTTAATTTTGTTATCTAATCGTTTATAACATTGTCATTATATAGAGGAGTTCTTGATAATCTTATAACTCAAGATATATGTCACCAATGGGTTATCTCAAGTGTCTTCAAAGATTTCCATGAGATCTTAAGAATGGAGTTTTCTTTTTTGTGTGTGTGTGGTTGAAGTGGAGAGTTCTTATTATGCTTCATAATTTAGAGTGTTGTTTTCTCTTGGTTTTAGCTGGTGTGCCCCTGGAGGTGGCTCACTAGCCTTTCTGATAAGTGTAAAAGGGCACCTTTATTGTATATATATGTATATTGGTTTGAAAACTTATTTCTTACAAGAAGCCCAAAGAATCAAACAAAGAATTCATGAATGTTAATGAGAAAAAACGAAAGATGTAAGACTTCTAAAATCAAGTATGAGAAAATTGAAATAAAACTATTACCTTAATGAACTTTGGCTTCTTTAAATCCACATGAGAAACGTAGCTTTCGACAAGAAATTTGAAACCAATCTCCAGTTCAGCATCAAATGACCCATCGGGGAATCGTCGTGTTATCTCCGATCGTTGGCACCAGGGGAGAAAATCCTCATACAAGTCAACAGCAGCAACCACGGCAAATAATTGCTCTGGAGAATACCTGTAATCAAAACCTACACGTCATATAACTTATAAAGATTCCACAGGCACATAGATAACATCAAAATGCAACCACATCAGAACATATTCATTTTTTTAACATGTTCAAGATGTCTGCAATCCCACTCCTAGGAATAAAATCTGCTCCTGAGATGCTCCTTATAAACATTTTGCTAGTTTGAAACATTTAAATAACAAAACATAGTGAATCTTGAAAGAGTAAATGAAAGAGTTTTAGAATAACTTCGAGTTAAAGCAAATTCTCCTCTGCCCCATTTTATGTGACGTAGTTGACTATGCACAAAGTTTAAGAAAAACATATTTGAATGATAGATTTACAAAAGTGTCTTTTTTCTGTGTTGAATAAATTTTGGGGGAACTTGAGACCGTATTAAAATATAAATTTAAAGAAGGTAATATGGGTATGGATAAAAAAAATTTACTTTCAAAAAGTTCAGGCATATAAAATGGTACGGAATGAGTACTAGAAATGCATAATCAAGCGAGGGAAAGAAGGATTGATAAAAATGTCAAGTTTTTGTTTTCCTAAACCGCCAACTACCAAGGATAAGGTGGGAATTTCATAAAATATCACCTGTTGCAGAATTTTAAGTAGTGGGATAAACAGAACATATACTTTGTAATTTGTTAAAGGGAGGGGTGGAGGACAGCTAAAAATATTGGAAAAGAAAGAAAGGGAAAAAAAAAATTAATAGATACAATTCAACTGATAGGGTGCAGTAAGTGCCACCCTTGTAGTTGATAAAATAAGGGGTACAATAGAGATGGTTTTGACTGGCTATGGAAAACGAGTAAATATGCCAGTGCATAGAACAGTTTGTACCAAATGAGGGTGCCGGAATGAAGCTAACAATTGAGATAGCGATAAACACAATGATTACAAAGACATGCACATGGTTTTATTAGTGTGATATGAAATGCCATTGTTGTTATAAATAGAAATAGAAACTTCTTCCCTATGTTTAACAGCAACGAATTCCTGAATCATAGCATGATATAATTTTTCAAATCAACACAAAGCCAACAAATAGAAAGGGGCTTTAAAATTTGATCAAACATACCCCAAAACACGCCTCTCCTCGTAGACTTTGGAAAGCACATTGCCCTCTTCCCCGTCACCGCAACCAAGAAAATCTATATATATATATATATATATATATTAATTAAGCCAAATAAATAATGACCACACTTATTATTATTATTATTATTATTATTATCAAATAATATATAAATAGACACACACAAACAAAATGGTTGAATGGTAGCAGCTGAATATAATAGTATAAGTCTTACAGCTTCAACAAATCAATAACATGTTCTTCATCTTCCCTCTTTTCTCTCTCTATCTCTTGTTCCTCTTCATCTTCCCTCTTCTCTCTTTATTTCTCTTCCGCATTTTCAACTTTTTTTTTTCGAAAAAAGCAATTCGGAACTGTTATATAACGGTGCGTAACATGCCGTTACGGCACCGTTACGACCGCTATAGCAGCCGCTACAGCCGATACACCTGTGAATCTCAATCACGGCGCAAAAGCGGCCGTAACGGGTGGCGGTAACGACCACAACCGTTACGTAACGGCGTTACGTAACGGTTGCGGCCGCTTTTTAAAACCTTGGCCGGAATGAAGCTAACAATTGAGATAGCGATAAACACAATGATTACAAAGACATACACATGGTTTTATTAGTGTGATATGAAATGCCATTGTTGTTATAAATAGAAATAGAAACTTCTTCCCTATGTTTAACAGCAACGAATTCCTGAATCATAGCATGATATAATTTTTCAAATCAACACAAAGCCAACAAATAGAAAGGGGCTTTAAAATTTGATCAAACATACCCCAAAACACGCCTCTCCTCGTAGACTTTGGAAAGCACATTGCCCTCTTCCCCGTCACCGCAACCAAGAAAATCCCTCCTCTGAACAGCACTACCACTGCAAGAACTCCCAAGCAAGGAATTGAGATCCTTATGAGCTCCAATATCCTTATTAACTTGCATTGCCCCAATACCCACAATGTTACTCAAGCATCGAATCTGATCATACCCTCCCAACTCTCCATTGTTCCTGGAATACCTTATCAACCGTCTACTACCATTAATCAACCGCCCAGCAGCCTTCGAAACCGACACAAACGACCGCATTGTAAATAAAAAGACACTTCTTTTTCGATTAAATCAACAAAAGAATACCCTAATTGAGTCGAGTAAAGCCAAATCGTGCCCTAAATTTCAAATTTCACCACAAAATTGATCATTATCTGAGATAGAAAAACTAAATTGACATGAAAGCAAGAAGCTAGAAACGAATTGAACAATGATTATCGTACAAATGATGGGAATGAAAGATCGAAAACCTAGGGATATGATTGATTGTTTGACGAAGAAACGAACGTACCTGGCAGATGTCAAACGAAATTCAATACAGAAATAGTGAGAGTTTCGGTATTTAAGGAGATGAATATACAGATTCTGATTCGGACAATGAAGCCACATCCAAGGGCTTGTGTTCTTATTTTTGGGTTTTTCTTTTTTTTTTTTTTTTTTTTTTTTTGCCTTATCAAAGAAAAGTTTTCGGAGTCATTTGGAGAAAATTTCTTTGTTTGTGTTTTGTATTTGGTTTTAATTTTTGAAAATTGTTTTTAAATTTTTTGTGAATTGCTTTTATATTTTAGCATTTTTTTGATTTTTTAATTTAATGGGCAAATTACAAACACTCCCTCGAGGTTTAGTGAAAATACAGATTTCCCTGAGGTTTGAGAAATTACAAATTGTCCTCCGAAGGTCAAATTTTCATAACAAATTAAGAAAAATTAGGGGGGAATCTGTATAAAAATAAAAATTTCATGGGGCAATTTGTTATGGAAATATAAACCTTAGGGGGCGGGTGGTTTTTTTTTTTTTTTTTTTTGCATTATCAAAGAAAAGTTTTCGGAGTCATTTGGAGAAAATTTCTTTGTTTGTGTTTTGCATTTGGTTTTAATTTTTGAAAATTGTTTTTAAATTTTTTGTGAATTGCTTTTATATTTTTGTATTTTTTTGATTTTTTAATTTAATGGGCAAATTACAAGCACCTCTCGAGATTTGGTAAAAATACAGATTCTCCTGAAGTTTGAAAAATTACAAATTACCCCTGAAGGTCAAATTTTCATAACAAATTAGGGGAAATTAGGGGGAATCTATATGAAAATAAAAACTTCAGAGGGCAATTTGTTATGGAAATATAAACCTCAGGAAGCGGGATGTAATTTCTTAAACTTCATGGGGAATCTGTACTTTCACCAAATATTGAGGGAGTTGTTTGTAATTTACCCTAATTTAATTGATTTAAATATATTTAAAAAATGATAAATTATAAATACACTCCTAAAATTTATTTAAAGTATGATTTGCCCTTATAGGTTTAAAAATTACATATTATCTTTTAAATTTTATAATTTCATAGAAAATGACATCTTTTACTAATAAATTATGAAGTTAATTAACTGTTTTATTTTTTTAATTAATTTTGTTAAATAAAAAAATTTAACAATGAGGTTTTATAATTTTTCAAACTATTGAGAGCCATCCCTATTTTAAGAAAACCAATTTACCCTTAAAAATAAGGAAAAATTATTTATAAGGCCTATTAGGGAGACTTATGCTACATATGGTCCTACTAAAAAACTTATGTTCCCATAAGTCCTGTAGGAAGTTTGTTGACACATTTACCATTAATATTAGTTGTTAATATCATAAATAATAGTAAAACCATATATAGGAAATTGAATGTTACCCTAACTCATATCTATATAAACGTAACGTAACGTGACACCTATACGTAACGTGACACCTACATAAACGTAACAGGAAATTGAATGTTACCATAGATCAAATCTATAAAAACGTAACGTAACGTAACACCTACATAAACGTAACGTGACACTTATGATCTATGGCAACATTCAATTTCTTATATAGGAAATTGAATGTTGCCATAGATCATATTTATATGAAACGTAATGTGACACCAATATAAACCAGCAATATTTTCACATTCAATTTAAAAAAATAAAAACTCATTAAGTTTGCGAAACGTAACGTGACACGTTACGTAACGTAACGTTTATGTAGGTATCACGTTACGTTACGTTTATATAGGTGTCACGTTACGTTACATTTATGTAAGTGTCTCGTCACGTTACGTTTATGTAGGATCTTGTGTAATACATTCCTATCTAAATAAGACTTGAAACTCTATAAGAAATTATACAGGACTTAACCTACCATAAGTGTCTGAAAAAGAACTTATATATAAGTCTCCCTAAAAATAAAATATTTATAACAAATTTGAAGGGGGGGAAAAAATTGTTAAAAAAAATGGAGATTTTTTAAAAAATCATATTTCTAATACTTATATACCAATTAGTCAAGTTAATTTCTAATAGTCTTATAGTCATCCAAAAGACAAAAAACCTCAATTTTAAATTTAACACAAAAAATGAAAACTAAATCTACATTTTATGATAAAATCACTCTAATTTGAATACTTATCTCATTTGAATTAAAATCTATATATTAGGAAAAAATAATATAAGCTAATAAATATCCTATTTAACATATTACTCTTTTAATATTACTCTTTTATAATGTGAAAAATTAAATAATGCAACAAAAAAATTAAACGAAAATTAAAATATAATGTGAATGTTTACAATAAACAACAAATATATAAGTAACTTTCAAACAACAAAACACATACTAAAATACAATGTGAATGTTCATAATAAACAACAAACATATAACTAACCTTCAAAAAAATAAAACTTATATACCAAAATACAATGCGAATATTCACAGTTTATAATTAACATACAACTATCATTAAAAAAACTAAACTCGTAACAATATAAACTCGTATCAATGTGAACATTCTCACTGCAACATGAAAATATAAAACAAAATTGAAAAAAGTGAAAATAAACTATTTCGATTGTTTAATAGTAACAAAAAATGATTATTTTTTGACCAACAAGCACAGTAACAAAAGCAACAAACATATAACTATCATTCGAAAAAATAAAATTTATACCAAAATATAATGTGAATATTTACATTTTATAATTAACAAATTACTAGCATTAAAAAAACTAAACGCATACTAATATAAACATTCACATTACAACGTGAAAACACGAAATAAAATTGAAAAAAAAAATAAAAATTGACTACTTCGATTGTTCAATGACAATAAAAATAATTGCTCAATCAGTGAGTATAGTAACAAACAGTATACAACAAATCATCAAACAACATATAAAAAATCATCAAATAATTCATATATATTGGCTCACCTTTTTAAAAAAACCTATATATAATCAATTCTGGCATAATACCAGTGAATAAACTATATAATTTTGATGACTACACAAACCGATGAAAAGACTACGGTTTATATATTACAATAGCAAAAAATGATTGTTCATCATCGGTTGTGAGTCAATTATCATCTCTATTATCAGTCTACATGTATAACTAACCTTCTCTTTTAAATGTTCTTTCATGGCCGGAGCTTATTCTAAAATAATGGTGAAGAAAGATCTTTGATAAAGTGAATCTCTCATATTGAAGCAAGAAAATACTAAGAATAATAAACTTCTATATTTATATGCAATATTTTATATATATCATAAATTAAATATATCTAATAAATGATTTTATCTCTCCTAAATATATATCTATTGTACGAGCACGAAATAATTCTTCTTGTATAATCCTGTTGACCAAGTCTGCGCTCCTCCAAATGTCGTCGCTTTACACCCTGAAAACACAAACGTGAGCTAGCCGGCGGGTGTGTGCCGGATACCTCTCCGATGCCTAAGTCAGCAAGATAGACAAATAGACAAAAGCTCTGTGTATTCGAGAATCAAAGTTGTGTTACCTCTCCACAGGTGATGTTGTGAGCTTTTATAGGTTCCGCGTGGCACAATCCTAGTAGGACTCTTATTGCTCCATGCAGAGTCCTCCTAGGAATCACACTCCTGAAAGATAATGCTTATCCTTCAACACCCCCCTCACTGCTTAAACCAAGTGAGATGGTTTTACCTCAGTAGTATGACAAAACGACCGAGCTAACATAGCCATGCTAAAGCGGCAGAAATGACTGAGCTCCAACTAGCTCGGTTCTTCACTTCATTGCTTGTACCTCGGTTTGGTCCGTCGAGACCGAGCTAACCACAACAAGCTTGGACCGAGCTAATCAAAAGCAAGGTGCTGAGGAAAGCTCAAATCATCTCGGCTCAGAATGGTATGACCGAGCTAATTACACCACACCGACCGTGGTAACCCCAAGTACAATTGGACTGAGCTAACTGCAAGGTCCTTTCACTCGGTCCTTTTTACCGCGGCCCATTTACCCAGTTCGGCCCAATTTATTTATAAATTACCCTCTCATATATATATATATATATATAATAAAATTCTATAAGAGTAAAATAAGAGTAAAATAGTTCACATAATAATTCTAATATGGGAAAAAGGATCTAATGAAATATAAGTTCAAATATATGGGATTAGGTGGAATACAATGTACTTATTGGCACTACAACAAAATTGGTCTATAACCACGTTTTTTAGACAATGTTTTTTTGAAAAACACTGTGCAAAACCTAAAGTCAAATTAAAGACATGCGTGTTCCACTTAATAACGGTGCTCCGTGTCCCTCTGCCCCCATTTCTCTTTCCGTCGTTTTGTTTTCTCTCTTCATCTCTCTCTATCGTTTTCTCTCTCTGTCCTACATCTAGGGTTTTCTCTGTCTCCTCATGCTTCTTGAGAGATTCACCAAGGTTCAGATCTAATTCTAAATCCATTGATTCTTGCATCGATTTGTTTGAAATTTCTTTTGATGGTTTTTTTGGTTTTCTTGATTCTGATTCTAATGATTTTGTAGAGGAAGATGGTTCGGTTGAGTTGCACAAATCGGCGGGGTTACGAGACTGAGGAGTGAAGAAGGATCAAGAGCATCGGGATTGAGACAAGGACCGAGATCGAGTCCGATCAAGTCGGAGCAAGAGGAAACCAGCCGATGAAATGACAGGCTTTTCTCAATTTCTTCTTTCCTGTTTTGCAATCAGTCTCAAGATCTTTTTCCACAACTCAAACTCACAAAAAGCTCCCCTCTCTCGTAGTCTAGCCCCTTCTCCCTCTGCCCGACTCTCTCTCTCTCTCAGGTAACCCTTCTCTTACATCTATTTTCTCAACTGCATATAGATACATGCTTATATATATATATATACACACACACACTTACACATACATGTATTTGTATAAGCACCATGTTTTTCTTTTTACAGATTCTTTGTTCGTATTTTGGACGATCTTTTTCTAATTGATAGAACTTTACCCTAAAGATTGATAGCTTCAATTTCTCGAAATTTAGGATATAATGAGGTTTTCACTGTCAGATAGTTTTACATCCTCACTTCTTTCAATTTAGCTAAATATTATTCTGTTGGGTAATTTGGTATACAGTATCATTGATTAAAACGACATTTTCCAACTAAATCAGTTGACTTTAGATGCCATTTGCCCCCATTCTCCACCCATCTCTCTTGCTTCTTCTTATGATTGTAACTTGGAATGACAGAATCAGCTCTTGTTGTCCTTGTAGATGTTAATTTGTGATTAGCTTCTTGACATTACATGATGTGTTACCAAAAAAATTTAAAATAAAAATGTGAGAAGGAAAATGATTATACAGAAGTGCACCTCTTATTTGTAACCGTGTTCCCTCACCCCCTCCTGTATTCTAATATGCTGTTCTTTATACAAGGATACTATTTAGTTCCATAGACAAAGTAATTTATTGCGGTAAAAGAATGGGATTTTATGTAATTTTGGTCTAGTATATACCTATGTGTATTTCTGATTCTTTTGCAGTGAAGAGAGTGCAAATGAGGACCATGATGAAGATATGGTTATTGATGCTGCTAAACAGGGTGATGAAGTTGCCCGTGCATTAGTTGCTGCAGATGCACTTGGCAAAGCCTCCTTGAGCACCACTTCAGTTCCTTTTCAGGACATAGCAGATTCTTTGCAGGAACTAGACATGGAACACTATGATGAAGAGGATGATGGTAACCCCTCTCCTGTTTTCTTATATTCTAATGGGGAATAGTTTTTTTGATTCTGTATATTTGAAGGCATGGCTTAATCTTGAAGCATTATAATTATTTGGTCAACTGTCTCTTTTTTTATTTATGTGCAAAAAGTATCAAATGAACTTTTAAGCAAGCATGCATTTGTTTCCTGGTTATTGCAGGTGTTGAGCTGATTGGCACGGGAATTGGGGATGCTTATTATCCAAGTAATGACATGGACCCGTATTTGAAGGATCAGAATGTAAGTTTGTTTGACCAATGTTGTACATTATTGTTTGACTTTTGTTACTTCTTTTGTTTTTGTTGAAGGAAATGGAATTCTTTGTCTTATTATTTCCTTGCCCTTTTAGGATGATGACTCTGAAGAGGTTGAGGACATGACCATAACAGTTGTGATTGCTGACATGCCACATTGACTTATATGCCTTGGCTCTCCTACAACTCAGATATGGGATGCATTAAAATTCTTACATCAAGCAGATGTATATTAACTTTGTAATTTTGTGCTTTCTGCTAAGTATACTTGGCTTTCTAGTTATATTTTTGCAAATAAAAGTGAAATTGTTGTCTTGAAATATTATTGTTGTTTTCTCTACGGTAAGGGATGTTAGCTATCGGCCTCCGGGGACCCAAATCAACCTTTTGAATGAAGTTAACATTTGCCTTCCTGAAAAAAGGTATTTTTGTTTGTAGAGTCTCTTGCTTAAATGGACCTCATGTATAATTGTGCTAACAACCAACCCTCCTTAATATGTTCTTAATTAGAACTTAAATTACTTCTGCGAACTGCTTTGCATTCATGGGATTGTTTGTTGTTTTGTCTTGCTGTAGTTTTGGCTTGATTTTTGGACGGAGTGGAAGCGGAAAAACTACACTCTTGCAGGTCTATATTTTGATTTTAGGTTATCATTTGTTATGGACTTCTTTAATTCATTTCAATTTTGTCCCCTTGTTTTACTTTATCTTGCATTTTATTTGCATATATTTTATTTTCCTCACAGCTTATTGCAGGATTGACCAAACCAACATCAGGCTCCATTTATATTCAAAGATATGATAACGATGGCAAACCAAATCAATCTCTTGAACAATTAACTCCAGAAAGAGTTGGTATTGTTTTTCAGTTTCCTGAGAGGTATTGCTTCAAATTGGAAAATTGAAGAGGTTTTCTATTTATTTATTTTTTTCTTATGAGTTGCTATCTATCATACAGGCTTATGCATCACTTGCACGTTGTTAAGTTCAAGTTGCATCACATCAACTAGTTTGTAGTAACTTCATTTTCTAATCTTTTATGATTTTTAATGGTTATTTTCCACAACCGCAGTACCAAACTAATCTTTTTAGATCTTTTGTCCTTTTAATTAGTGCCTCTTAATTATTTATTCTTTTTATCCTTGATGATAGAGTGATCATAGGAATATATGTTTTGTTCTTGTCTCTCTGTTTTCATGCCTGTTCACCAACAGTGTATTACTTTTCTCCCACTCATCTAGTTTTTCATTGAGATTGTCAAATGCAAAGTAATTTGCCTACCATTTTACCTTGACTATTGTGGTAGTTGAACTTCACTCTTCTTTTGCTTAAGGGAACTTTAATTTTGCACATTCTCATATAGGTGTCTTTTTTTGTTGTAAGAATGGTTGTTAGAATCATGTGCTTCATGACTTGATTCATATGATTTGATATGAGTGTCAACCAAAATGATTCAAATTGTGTTGTCAAATTGGAAATTGAGTGAATTGTGCAATTCAATTTGCGATTCCTTACATTTCACTGTGATTCAATTATGTTTCAGTTTTGTTTTCATACTTCATGAAACACCATCGTTTTCGATTATACGTGGTTTAATCATATTGATATTTATTTTATTTTAAACACTAAGTGTGCGTTTTTATATGTATTTACAAGGATGCCTGCATAAAATCATATATTACAGTAATAAAATGAATGTGACAATTCAGTATTTTAGCAAAAACGATTGACAATTTTATTCGTAATGCCTTTAGTTTTTGAATGCTGGCTCTTCTTTTGCTTTATGCAGGTTTAATTTTGCATATTCCAACATAACTTTTTTTGGGGTTTCATTTGCATGATTAAAAGGCTGCACTTTTTGTTTTGTTTTACTTATTTGTGTGGGCCTATGGGGAAAACATTTTTTTTCCCCTTTGAAGTGTCTAAGATGATATGTTGTGGGCTAGGTATTTCATAACCGACAATGTTCTTGATGAAGTCACATTTGGATGGCCAAGGCAGAGAGGTGACCTTCAATTGAAAGAGCTTCTTGCTTCAAGACTCCAAAGAGCTATTATTTTGGTAATTATACTCCCCTTAGATTAGAGAATATTTTTTTGATGCTACTCCTTTACTTTATGGATTTGTTTTCTTGATTTCTAAGTATTAGTTGTCGCGTCTTTGCCAAATTTAACACCATATCTTAAGTAAATTAATCTGTTAGGTTGGTCTGCATGGAATCCCCTTGGATAAAGATCCTCACTCCTTAAGTGGTGGCTACAAAAGGCAGCTGGCCCTAGCAACTCAATTAGTAAATCTCTCCCCCAGTGGTTTTATGTGAATGCCAAAATGTTCTACACACATGCATGCATAAGATTTAAAATGACTGCTTGAGAATTGTTAACTTTATGCAGGTACAGATTCCCAATTTATTGATATTGGATGAACCTCTTGCTGGTCTTGGTATGAATGGACATACACCTCACCAGAATTTCCAATGGCTCGGGTAAAAGGGAGAGGTGGAGCCATTTTCTTTTCTTTGTAGGAAGGCAATGGTAGGAGGAAGGAATAGTTGTGTGTAAATCTCTTGGGGTCAACAAAATTAATCACTAAAAAAATGGGTGAAAAGAAGGGGAAAAAATCAAGTGCATTTTTTACTTTCAAATCTTTGCTCTTCAATACAACACCTATATGTAAATACTTGGAATGATAATGGTAAATGAACATAACTCCTCTCTACTCAACACACCTAGCCGAGGAAAAGGTATGAATTTTTTTAGTCGGTGTGGCAAAAAAGATTTATTGTTATTTGTTTTTTGTCAAGCTAAGTAAAAACTATGAAGCTTTGAATATTTATCAATTTTGTGGTATTGTATTCATTGCAGGATATGTTTTAAGTAAGGAAAAATTACAAAACATGTCTACCATTATGCAACTACGTCAAATTAAATGAATATAAAAGATCACATGGAAAGCTTAAGATACAGTAACTCAAGTAAACTTAAATTACATCATCAAGATGCTATATTTGGAACAAGCAGAGGTCCTAATTAGTCCTCCTTTTTGATATTTCAAGCATTTTTGGTGAATTTTTGAATTATCTCAAAATCTAAAATGTTTAGATGATTTCTTCATGGATATTAGGAGAATTGCTTGCAAAAATTCAAGCTTCCAGAGCCTGTTCTTTGCATCGGTGGAATCCTGCAAGTAGAGCTTTTGGGTAGAGTACAGAGACAAGAATTGGATGGTTTATTTTATATATGGTTAGTTCCTTGCAGTTCTATCTACTATTTATTGTTACTCAGCGTGATTTCTTTTAATGGATTGAATTGTGATGCATTAGCATGCTAGATAAATTTTAGTGTTTGAATGTGTCCATACGATTTGAGCTACATCTAAAGAAAAAAGTCCAGGAACCTATAAAATTTATGATCTGAATGAACAGATCTGTGAGGGTACACCTTTAGGCTTGTCTAAAGAAGAATTTTTAGGTTAGGCCGAAGTATGATGTATAGTAATTGTATACCCTTCACATGAAACCCTTGTGTCACAGACCCATGCACCTCACAAGACGGTCATCCCAACACGTGGCTGCATGACCAAGATCGTTTCCACACAGTTGATAAGGTTGTGATGCACTTCAACCTGCTTTGATATTACTTCAAGTCCAGACCTCTCAAAAGGGTCAACCCTCGAAAGACTACCCAACCCAGGGATCTTATATGCAAGTGGCAACCCTTTCGAGAGACATAGGTCCATGACACTTGGCTACTAAAAGATGCCAGTTGTTTGACAGGCATTATGATGGTCTGCATTTCTTTCCTTTTGTGGCTTTTTGATTTCTTTTACTTTGCAAGGGTTACAGGGGAAAATTTAGTATGAGGCTGTGTATTTTGAACAATTTGACAACGTAATTGTTAAATCTACTGGTTGAATATATTTTTTGCAGTTATAAATTTAGAGTCTTCTCTATAAATATATTTTTTGCAATTATATTCATAAGCGAGTTGATGTTCTCAAAGAGCTTTAGGTTTGGTTTCAATATATATGATCTTATTGATAGGACTGAAAATTGATGTTGTATAACTTGGTTTCTATTCACCAACATGTTTTAGTGATGTTGAATTGCTGATTATATGGATATTTATGGAAATGTCCTTAATTCTCTTGAACATATGATTTATTGGGTGTGCTGAAGTGTAATGCTTTGCTTTATTATTGCAGAGCCAAGATGATGAGCTGGGGTGAAGTTTTTCGATAGAGCAGCCCTTGAAGCTAACATGAAGCTAAATACCAGAGTGCACTCTATATTATTGGTTTTTTTTTTCGTTAAAATGAGAAAATATTAGCAATTTTTATTTTTATGTATTGAGTTAATTCGTTTTGAGCTCTTGAAGTTCTTGGCGGAGTGCCTCGCTTTCGAGCCTCGTAACTTGTCTAAAATTTGAAAAATGAATACTCCATATTAGTAATTTTTTTATTTTTTATTTTTTTTTATATATTTTGAAAATGGTGATGGATGGGTGGTTTGCTTTGAACAGCAGTAAAAAAATCATTAATTATGAATTTTTAAAAAAAAAACAAAGAAAAAGTGGCGTTTTTCATAAAAACGTCGCAAAATATCGTCATTGCTTACGTCATAGTTAACTCTGACGGAAATAGTCAAACAGCTGTTAAAAATTAGTGACGTTTTAAAAAACGTCATCTAAACTCTATAGTGGCGTTTTGAAAGCGCAACATAGATACGACGGCGGCCGTATTAGCGACGAATTTTTTAAACGTTGTCTTGTGTTTTTGCGGCGTTTTCCTGGCCTTTTGCGGCGTTTTTAACACGCCGCTAATTTGCGATTTTCCTGTAGTGACTGTGTGTGGACATAATGGAAATTAGCCTTGGAAAGAGGGAAATTTCTTAATCCAAAAATTAGAGAATTTAAATTTATGGTCAAAAATTTAATGGAGAATTCTAACAAAAGGTAGGCCTTTCAACTGAATTTTTTCATTCTATACTCATGCTTCCCTATTGTGACAGAAAGCAGATTGGGCAAATTTCTAGATCTGTAGGGTGGCTGGGGCAACTTGTAGGTTCATTTATCTTTGCCCAGTTTTGTGCTTTCTGAGATAGGCCATTTGAGTTTTTTTCCCACACCAGCCTGAACCTTGTGAAATTGTGAAACACTTCTAATTATAACAAAACTCTTTTTATTGATGACTGCATATTGAATTCACTTTAATTATGCGGTTATGCCTAGACTGATATGCCAAATCAAAGATCTAATCTCCATAGTTTTGAATGGAACCCTGAAAAGCTTTTACCTTGACCATCATATTCATGTTAACTGCTAGTTTGTTAAAAGTACAACACTTTAGTGGTAAAAACTTACGCCACACTCCCTCTCATTTTAGATCCATACCTGTTTTTGTCCCAAACCCTCTCTTTCTCTAGAGAAATTATATTTTAATTATAAATAATAAAAACAAAATTTTAGATGTTCTTAAATATTTGTACTTTTTTAGTAGATTTGAGAAATTTTTATTTTTATTTCCAATAAACTAGAAATTCTAGGTATAATTTAAATTTTTTTAATACAAAAATAATTTATAAACTTGTATCACTAATTACATCGCTCTCTCTCTCTCTCCCCCCGTCGACGTCTCACACAAACACACGAGTACCACCACCGACGACCACCAGCCACTATCCCTCTGATCACCACCGATATCCTCCGAGCTGAGAGTTCAATTTCGAACGCAACATAGAGCTTTTGTAGAGACGTCTCAAGACTCACACACACACACTCACTCTCTCTCTCTCTCTCATTCTCTCTCTCTCTCTCTCATTCGTTTCATCGAACAGGTAAACTACATTGCATTACATATATGTATATATATATATATGGTTTCTACTTTATGATTATTTATTAATTTTACCATATCCTAATCTGATTAATCTGTTCTTCTTCATTGATGTGTAGTTTAAATTACATGAATCCAGATCTCTCTATGTATGTACATATATTTAATTGTGTGGATGAGTTATATGTCATGTATATATATATATATATCTGTGTGTGTATGTGTCTTTTTGAAGATGAATTGTTGTGTTGTGTGTGTTTAGTTAACCTGATCTACATATTGAATTTATGAAAATGGTTTGAATTGATTTTGGCTTAGTGCTGTAATTTGTTATATTTTGCCCTAATTAGTTGAAAGCTGTAAGCAGAAATTGGGATGACTATTGAATTGTGCTTCAATTTGTATTTTGCTTGAAGCGATTATGAATAAATTGAGATAAATGAAAATTTCTAGTTTGATTTATATGAGTTGCCTCTAATATTGTCAGTTAATTCCCCCTTTAATTATGTGTAGTGAAAATTTCTAGTTCACTGTGCAGACACCCCACTTTTGACCGTCCTCAAGACTTGGACGTCATTGTTTGAACACTCGATGATTATCCTTGTTCGTGTTTGTTTTGAGTACCTGAAGTTCTTGGCGGAGTGCCTCGCTTTCGAGCCTCGTAACTTGTCTGTTTTGTGTTTGGTTGCTTGCTCTTTACACTTGTAGTGTAATCTTGCTCACTAGCTTTGCATGCTTGCTACTTTAGCCCATGATTCTAGCTTATTTTGGCTATACTCCAGCATGCTTTTACTCATGGTTTGGCATGCTTTAACTCTGTTTTGAGTCGTTTAGGTCATATGAGGCTTGTCTTGTATGGCTATAGCATGATAGGCTTTAATAGCTTTGTGTTTTGAGTCCTCTAGCATGCTTTGCTTGGATTGTTTGCATGATTTGGCATCATTTAATATGTGATTTCAGAGCATGTACCACTGTCACACTTCCACATATTTCACTCTTCAAGTGCTTTTGAGAGTTGAGCGTTATGCCTTGTTTGTGAGCCATCATATAAGCATGCTTTTCTTGCTTTTTGTGCTTAAGTGTCATCATGTTTTGGCCACTATTTTAGCATGATTGAGCTCTGTTTTGAGCTGGTTTGGTTGTTTGAGCTCGATATTGCATGCTTCTAATGTAATACACTTTACTAGCTTTGGTGCCTTTGGCTATTAGCATGTTATGCTTGTATTGCTGGCATGCCTTAAGGTCTTTAGCATACCATCTCAGCACTAAAGCAGCTGCAACCTCCCCATTTCTTCATTTTTCAATTTGATTTGAGGGTTGTTTGGCGTTAAGCTTGTGTGTAAGCATGAAGTAGGGTTTGTGCCCAAATGGCTTTAACCCTCTTTTGAGGGTTCCTCCTAGTCAAAAGGCATAATCCATCTCATGTCCTAAACCATTCTTTTGGTTGACCTCCTCTCCTTAGAGGGCTTGCACATTGGACTTAATTAATTAAGAAATGGTTTGGTAATGTAAATGTCTAAACAAGAATCGAGCAAAGTTAAACATGCCAAGATAACATATGTGTGTTGCATTGCATGTGTTTGGATCGAACGTTAATCCAAACACTAGAAATGTGGCACATTTCATACTCCAATTGATGAATCGTGTTGCGTTTCTT